AAGTCCATTCGCGCTTGCGTGTATATATATATATATATATATTACTTGACACTTTACTACATTATCAAGTTAGCATTTTCATTAAATCTTAAGTTAACAAATGTGCTGAAATTACACAATTAAACTAATAAAGAATCAACTTTTTTTTTTTAAATAGAAGAATGAAATTCGCAAAATTGAGAAAATAAAAAATCAAAAGTAGAATTAAACCTTTTACCAAATTCAATAATCATCAAAACAAAGGTAATTGAAGTGAGACAAGAAAAAAATGAAAGCAAGTTTAGAAAACAACCACTTTTTCTCGACTTCTACTACCCAACTGCTTGAATCTTCGATAGAAAGCCAAGAAAATTGTTGACAAGGCAGAAGAAGAATATGAAAGAATAATAAAGAAAAGGGGGAAAATCACATTTTTATTTCCAGAATAAATAACTTGTTGAGTAACTTTTACACTGCTGTACATTCATACTCAATTTATCAAAACAACCTAAGTAATTGCTCCCCGAAAACAATTTTTAATCAAAAAAATGATTAACAAGAAACACAATGACAAGCACTCCAACAACCCTTGCCCTATAAAATTCACACCAAGCAGTTCTCAACAAAGAAAGAACCTAAATATCAGACCATTGCAAAGAAAAATCTTTAGTTACTTTCTTTTGTCATGAGAGGCCTCTTGGGAGCAGAAGTAGCTATGTCAACAAACAGAAAAACACTCAGCCGTCCCTTTCACTTCCGTATGTTTAGTTTCTTACTGCAAAACAGATAGAAATCTCCCCGAGTTATAAATCAAGATAACATTGTCAAGGAGAGGAAAAAACTTTGAGGACAAGCAAAGTTCCTTCTACCTGCAACTTAAAATAGAAAGAGGGTAAAGTGTACTTTAAAACTCAGAACAACTGAACGGCCATTTTGAGTTTGTTCTGTTTCCATTTTGGCAACTTGTAAAATTCATCCTTAGCCATCCCAAGTTTCTCTTGGAACTCTGCAGATGACAGATAAGCCTGTACATGAAGCCCAAACAAGTCAGAACTAAAACGAAAGAAAGCTTGATTACACCATGCAATTTCCAAAGAATGGAGGAAAAAGGAAAAGATGATGCTATATCTAGACATTTTGGTTATACCTCTCGTTTAGTCACGTCAATATCTGCTAAAGGATTTGTAGAAGCTGTGTTAACGCGTTCATATGGGTAAACTGGGAGACCTTCATCATCTTCAGTTTCACCCTCTTTGGCATCCTCCTGAATGGTAAGAGATTCTATTCTGCTGCTCATAGAACTTTCCTCGTCACTTGAATCAGCGTTGGATTTGCGGGAAGCTGAACTCCCTCACACCATAACAATCCATAATAGAGAAAAGGCATTTGTATTAGATGATATTCTAATACAAACATTAAACATCAATGCACTCATCTAGTGAGTATACATACCTCTTTGTGAGCGGGGAATCAAATTGTCTCGTACAAATGGTTGTTCAAAACTAGAAGTAAGACGAGATATGGCTGAAGATTTAGGTGCCAGTCTTGTTGTATCTGGTGTCACAGATTTTGGGTACAGTTTTCTAACCATTGGAGGTGGGGTTGAGAGATTCCTAGTATTTGGGCTCTCAAAATTAGCTGCTAGTGCGTTGAAGGCTGGAGATCTGCCCCTCACTCGGACACGATCAGCACTGACAGACACGCTGCGGGAACGCTGAGATTTGTCTGGCATACCACCAGACCTTCCTCCATAAGATACTGCTGCTCTTCGTTTAGGTTTCTGATAATGTATCAGATATTCAATAACCAAGCAGATAACGCAAATACAAACAAAATAATTATATTAAGATCCAGTACTTAAGGTGGAATTACAATAAGATTATGCTACAATATGTCATTTAATCTATTGACCCCTCTGAAGGATCAGCACCAAGTTCATATCCTTGAATTCAACATTAAGAATTCAGTAGTATTCTCTTCAGTCAACCTAGTCCAGTTCATTTCATAATTTTATTAAACGTAACAATAAAGAACGCATCTTTTCAAGTTTCTTGAAGCTATAAAATAGGATCAGGCAACAATTCACTGTAGTAAAGCAGCAGTTTCTTTCTATTATATAATATTAGTTTTGTTCTTTTATGATGGAAACAAATTAGTGAATTCTTTTTATCCTAATTATAAGAAGCATAGACTCATTTTGAATGTATTAATTGTTAATTTTTTTATATCATAATTTATTGTAAGGTTTATTGAGACACTCGCTCATTTTCCATATAAATAGATGCATTCATTGGCATATGAGCAATTAATATTTTCTCTGAGTTTAAATATAAAAAGAAAAGACATGTATAATGGATCAAAATATAAACAAATCATTACTAATTTCACATTTTGCCCTATTTAATATTGTCAAAACATCATTCATTTAATTAAAATTTTATTTTTAATTTTTTTTTTATATCAAGTTTCAATAAAGAGAAAATATAAAAAAAAAACTAATTATTTTTAAATGAGATTAGTCAAATTAAATGATGTTAACTACATTTATTAATTATTGTGATTTGTTTTGCTTATATTTAAATCTGGAGAGTAAGCCAAGGTCATTGTTAGAAAACTTATCTTTTGAATTATAAGCAGTGTCATTAAATTTAATGTAATCACAACTTAAGTCATTTAATTTTATAAATAATTCTAAAATAAAATTTAAATTTATTTATTAAAATTAATTAACTTAACTATTTTTATTGTTTTTCATATGAAATAGTTATTTATTTATTATATAGTATTTTTTACAAAATATTTATTTGTTTCTTATATAGTTATTTTTTTACACCTCTTATGTAATTATTATAATCATTTATTTCCTGCAGTGGCTCTTGGATGACTCATTTCAAATACTTATGCCACACTTTGGTATTTCTTAATCATTATTATTCGTTTTTAGCAGGTATTCTCATAGATTATATTAATAGGTGTGTTTATCAACGTTATATTTCATGCTATACATCAAAGCTTAGTGAAAAATGTACAAACTAAACACACTATCTTGTAAATCAAACACTACATTCATTTTTGGTGAATTGGCATATTTTTCTCCAGAAACTTTGTCTCACTGTTCTTGGTGATGCAATAGGAACGTCCTTCCTAAGGGAAGCTAGTTTTTGGTTTTCTTCTGTTTTCTGTTTATTACATTCAATATTACATCCATTTCTAACCGTTTCAAAACTTATGATTCTTCTAATTTTTTAGTTTTATTTTAGAACTTTAGTTCTTCCACTACTTCTTTATATAATTTTTTTCAATTAAACCCTCCTTATGTGTAATTGAGTAATTATACTATTTCAAGTAAAACATTAATGTTATTTTAAGTTGAGTATTATTTTTTACATGAATATAAATGAAATAGTTAAAAATATTGTTGAAAATTTTAAATTAATAAATAAAAATTTCACTCAGGTGTATATGTGTAATTATATAAATTAAATATTTCTCAATATATGTGTAATTGGTAAAACCCAAAGTTTTAGAATAAAAGTGTACTACCACAATCCGGAGCTTCTGTCAACTTTGGCCCTCTCATCGGGAGTAGGATTGAATTAAGAAATTATAGGACTTGGATATAATTTATATCTAGCACTTAATCTTATATTATTCATCAATCTTTCTTTTATTCTTCTTATCTTAAAAATGAAAAAAAAAATTATAAGCTAGTAAATCTAGCATTTCAATCAATAGATGATGTGACTAAACTATTCAATTTATCTTCAAACATAGTCGATATTAAATAATACTCAAATAATTTAATTACAAAACTTTTTATACAACAATGCATACATTTGGAAGATAATGTATAAGCTTTTGATATAATTTCATATATTTTTTTAGTTCAGTATTATTTCTTATTTACCATGTTATAGGAGTATTAATTTATTTTTTTAGTACTTCTTTTAATACCTTTAATCACGGAAATAAATTAGGACTATCAATATAAAAATAATTACCAAAACTTAAAATTCTTCCAGATTAATAATTTTTTTAATTCATCCGATCCAAAGTTTTAAAGTTTCGTGATTCAAATAAAGAAACCAAAAGTGGATAATTTTATCGTTAAATTGTTAAGTGTGTACTTAGTCCAACTTATTTTGGAAAATTAATATTTTTTTTACCTTCCTTTTTATAGAGCTCTTGAAAAGAAAATAATTATTTTCAAAACTAGAAAAGTGAAATTCGTTTGCAGCGTGGTAGGGTGGGTGGAGACAGAATTCTTTGTTGGATTATATTATCTCACTCGTAATAGTTTATCAAAGATAGATAAAACGTAAGATGAAAAATAATATGGAAATTCAGACTAAGTTTAATGTGGTCCTTAAGTCCTCACTCTTCAGAAAACAATTATTCTATTAAGAAAGCAAAGAAAAGATTACTTACAACCAAAGGTGGCGTCCCCCCATTTTTCACGATTGCAAGCTTCCTTTGAAATGAGTTTCCCAGCATCTATCAAAAACAAGGAATTGTTAGTAGCATAAAGTATAAGACTATTTGAAGTCATATATATAATACATCAAAAAACTTACTGCTGATTTTGCAGACTCCCAATTAAAGAAGCGGGTGAAGAAAGGTGGCTCGCTGTTTTCCATAACAACATATATTGGAGCTTCACGAGATAATTTTTCTAGAAGAAAGTCATGCTCAAGGAATTTCTGTATAATTCCAAAGAATAAGTTAAGAATTCCACACCTGGTTGCAGAAATGCTAGAACGTAAAAGACATTGAAACTGCTTTATGGTATTCTAATGATAGAAAGAGATATCATAGTTAAATCCCTATATTCAAAAAAAAAAAAAAAAACTAAAAGAACATTAACCAACTAATAAGACTAAGAATTTTGATTTATAACGTAACCCTTCAAATTTCAAAATACTAGACTACCAGTTAGTCACTAAATTAAAATAGTATGTTTATAGCTTCCATGAAAAGCAAAACCAGTTATACCTCACCAATTGTTAGAGCTTGCATTCTACTCTTTAAGTCAACCTGCTGTCCCACCCAGACAAAGATTTCAGAGTGACAATCCATGATGTAAATATCTTCTGTCATCAAATCATCCTGGGAAAAGTTGTATATCTCTTTCACCTGCAAGCATGGCTTCAGATTAATGCACTGCGGCAGAATAAATCCAAATACTTGCATCTTCATAAGCAAAGCATAAGACATAGCAATAAGTTTTATTTAAGATAAAATCAAACCCCAGTAAATTCACCCTCGAGATCGATCTTAAATTTACCTTTTGGTTGTGATAAAAGTGATCAATAACAAACTGGCCAGTCTCTCTGTCAGCATTTTACATCCAGAGTCACGATGACCGTAATCACTAACCACTGTGCAGAAAGATTATGTTCTAGGTTCTAACGTGATGTTATATGGATCAGATTAACGATATTTCGTTCTTTTTTGCGATTCATTATGTCAACTAGTTATTATACAATCCTGACTCTTTTGCTGTCCGTGCCAGCAATTTCATCATTCAAGTGTATAATTATATCACAGGACACCTTAATAAGTGATCAAAGCCATAATATCATTTTAATAACTTAATAAAACCCCAAGAAGGAATCTTTATAGCCTCAGATTTGAGTAACAGCGGTGTGTATGTTAACAAGAGTGTCTTCCAAAACTGAATATCATCCCAGTTTTGTAGCTATTCATTGCTCGTCATTCTCCATGGCTTTCCTAGTTTGTTTTTAAATCCTATATATTGAACCACTTTAAACTTGAGTTGAAAATAGATTGTGTCATAGAGCTATTTTACACAAGGGGCAACTTAACAGTTAAAATGTTTAAAATGAAACATTGAAGTAGGCAAAAAACTTCTTTAACATGCCTTCACACCATGGGGTTACACCATAACTTAGAATATTCCGAAATAATGCATATCAACAGATCAGTAGGTGTACACACCTTTAAATTTCCTGCACATTGGTCAATCAGGCAGGGAAAGAAGCCATCACAAAAATGTCAGCCATTTGCCTTCAAGAAGAGAAGGGACTGGGGATGGAGATCAGATAAATCTTTCCAGTTAACAAAAAACTAGTTCTTACCATTTGAGAAGTCGCAAGAAAATAGGTGAGGATCATTTTCAGCATCCCTCGTGATCTTTTGACTGGGATATTCTGATTTTCCTCCCAACAGATCCCAAAACTGTTCCGATTCTACACCTTCCTTTTGTGATTTGCATTGGAAATCCGGCTGTAGACAATTGGCAAGCATATGTTTTGATTAATAAACAGTAATATATATGTATGCGCGCATGTGTGCTGGGATGTGTAATTTGGCTTGGGCGAATGGCACCTGCCTTGATCAAACCCAGGACCGAGAACAAATAGGTAATTCTACATAGCCCAATGACAAGTTTAGAAATAACCAGCATGGTAACCATTTTCAACATGCAAAAATATTAAATCTCCCCCTTTTAGCTGCTTGTCCAACATGAATATGTTGACCAAAAATCCTTATGGTCTTTGTTTGGAAATCAAAATTTTCATGTTAAATGTATTTTGGAACATAACAGACCTTAATCAAATCCAGCATTCTCTCAACAAGCTCGTGATCGTCTGAAGTTGTTAAACCTCCAGACCAAGAAAAAACAGTGGGCCCGCTATGAAGTATGTAACAATAAGAGGAATTCAAGGAGGAAGCAACCTGGTTGACAAAAGGAATGTGAAAATAAACGATGTAATTATTTAAATAAAGTATTATTTGTGTATATATATATATATATATATATAAAGAAAAAGTAAATTGCCATTAAAAATAGAGTAGATAGAGCTAGCTGCTGTAAACAGGCAAGTTGACATACTGGTTCAACTTGTATAGCTTGCATATTTTCTGGTCCAGTGCCCTGGATGCGGAATAATGCAACACCATCCTCACTGTATGTCTTATCTGGAATTCCGTTCTCCGCAATGTGATTCTTGTATCCATCACTCAGTCCACCCTGATAGATAATTAAAATAAATGACCAGAATTAAAATAATTGTATTCATAAAAAGAAGTTCTTTGTTAGTGAACCCAATACCGAATCCCACAAACCTTAAAAACAATACAGCTTTGGAGGACGGCATGAAATTGAATTGGTTCGCTTCCTTCATAGATACGAGCCTTCAATTAATTACACACAAATTCCATCAATAGGGCTATAAGCAATGAGCACAAGTAATCTCTAGACGAATTGAAAATAACACATTCAAAGAAAAATTACCTGGGCAGGAAGAAACTTCATCGACTCAAACATTTTGCTTGCTTGTGAAAGAGCTGAAGCTCTCTCTCCCTAGTTTCAACAAAGAAAGCATGTAAGGAATGCAAGCTAACACATTTATTCAACACTTTTTGGTCCCAAAAGAGTTACTATGTTGTGTACAGTGCAGTGAAATACATAAGCTGTGATTTAGTAATAGCTTTCAGCTCCAGGTGAATATTTTGCAGACAGATTTTTAGCTTCTTTACACGAAATAAATCATAAGAAACACTTCTGAAAAGAGAAGTGGAATAAAAGTCTACAAATCTTTCACCTCAACACTCGTCTTTCCAATCCATGTTCCTACAAGATACTCTTCCCTATCTTCTCCAGGATATGAATATTGAAAGATGTAACAATCTCCATTATAAAATTTTGACTGATCATCGGGTGGAAGGAGAACCTTTTCCTGACCATTCACACGCCAAACCTGTGTAGTTATGTTAAAGCTCTCGTTAACAACAGAAACAATTAAGCAAGAGAAATGTAAATGTAGAACACTCAAATCACAATTAGTCCACCCAAATAGGGAGAAGTAGAGAACATATCTTTTGAAACTCTCATGGGATACTATCTATCAAATGTTTAAGAAACAATACAAAATATCGGCCAACATATCAACTACAATCATTCATAAAACTCTGGAAGTTTCTTTTACCTTGTTGCCTCAGGTCTCAACCATAATTTTGACGTAAATTTTATAAAAGTCTGTCAAAGGACTTAGTACTACAGCAGTTAGGTCATGGTCCTAAGATATGGAAGGTATGTTCCAGAAATAGGAAAAGAGAGACACATGGACCATGGAGGATTGCAAGAGGGAGAGGTCGTTATGCTTAGCGTGAGTGGGGTTCAGGATGAGGCTTGCAGATTTGGAGCTTATGATCAGAAGAGAGGAAATGGGAACAATCTTCGGGCTTTATAAGGAAGTAGCATTCCATAGCCATTTCTTTATGTTTTCCTTTTATCTTTGGTTAAATTAAAAATGTGTTCCTTATGAAGTTGTTTTCATTTGGTTCTTACATAAAAAAACTCTACAATTTAGTCCCTACATGAAAAGATGTTCACAAATTGGTCCTAACCATTTGCCAAAATTATAACAATGTTAAATGTTTATTGAGTTGGCCAACGTTTGTTGAATTGGTTCCCACTACCATATAGGACAAATGTTTGAAAACTCAGCAAACATCTAACACCATTATGATTTCAGCAAATAGTAGGAACCTATTTTTAAACACTTTTTTCACGTAGGAATCAAAGTATAGATTTTTTCATATAGGGATAAAACGAAAAATGTTAAATATAGGAACCAAAATTTTAAACCAACCTTTATCTTTTCTATATTCTATATGTTCGTTTTTTCTGATATATATATATATATATATATATATATATATCAATGTTTTCCATTGTTTTTATTAGTTAAGTACACATATTTCACTGATGTGATTTTGCTGGTTTGCATCATTTTCCTTTTAATCCTTGAATCCTTACATAGTAGAATGTGGGAAATTCCTTGCCCCTTGGACTCCATCAATGCAAATGGGATTTACGAAGAAGAGTTTTTGTCAATACCTTAATGAGGTTACACCAAATACCTATAATAGAAAAATAAATAATTTGGCCCCTATTGATTTATTTGAGTTTTGGTCCATCAAGAACTAAAGAAGGAATCAATCATTCATCAAAAATTGGGACCAGTAGCTTAATAAGTAGAAACTATTGGACTAAAACTCAAATGAGAGGAAAATATATGAACCAATTTGAAGACAAGGATCAAAAACTAAATTAGTGAAATTATAGGGACCAATACCTAAAAAAATAGACTATTGGGACAAAAGATAAATGGATATAAACTATAGGAAGCAAAATCTCATTTAAATAAAAAAGAAATATGATAATAATATGGTTAAGGACTAATAATTAGAAGATAAATCACAAAGTAAACTATGGATGACAGATTTCATATGTATATATCCAATTTGTGTAGCAAGTGCGATGCTGCCTATTCTACATTAAATCCATTTCCTAATTCTAGATTCATTTCTCAAAAAGTATTAAGCATCTACTCAATTTGTTTTAAATCAAACTTAAAGTAATCCAACACTCTGGGTTTCATATATTCCAATCTTACGACAGAATAAAGCTCTTGATCTCTTGTGCATTCAATTGCATTGTATGCCTCTCATTGTAATGATCAACTTTGGAATCGGAGACAGGTGAAGTATTATGGATACAGTGATTGTGATTCCAAAAGATTCTTTCATTCTAAGAAATCAATTAGACAGGGGGTGTAAGATCACTGAAAAATTAAAAATAATACCAACAAAAGTTACATGAAGATTCAAGAAATTTCAGTTTTGATGAATTGTTTTATTGTACATACTAGTTTAAGTACCTGCAAATGTCCTGTGCAATCTATGTAGGGTTGAGGTTCTTCTTTTGCAGGCTCAGATTTCACAAGACCCTTGACATCCAATCCTTGACGTTTTAGAAGTGCTAGAAAGTTATAAAAAAAATAAAAAAAAAGTCAAAAATAGAAGATCATAATGACAGCCTGAAAATCGATGTTGAGTTGCTGACAAAACCAATCAAAGGTGACAAAAAATGTTCAGTCCAATGACAACTGTAAAATTTAATTAAAACTACCTGCTACCTTGCCACGACCATCTTCAGGCATTGTTCCATGAGTGCCCTGAGGCCAAGAATCAAACTTGGACCTGAACATTACTGTTTCAAATCCTTCAATGACACGAATTATATGGCACTTTGGTCGACCAGTGCCTTTGACAAACTCCTGTTTTTTTGGTCAACAGAAATTCCAGAGTCATTCAAACTTAGGGCAAATGCTTAACAATACTAAGAAAGAAACAAAATATGTTACATCTGCAGCTCCACTTGCACTTTTTCTTCCATCAAGTGATGTGTTTCTTCCCATCCATGCAAAAACTTCTAACCCACAATCTAGAATATAGCATTTATTTGTGTCCAGTAACTCCTTTGTCAAAGAATCAGTATTTATAGGTTCTGCCTTCCCCTTTTCAACACTGGAAAAGTGACAATGTCATTATAACTAGAGCATTATAGAATCATATGTTTCAATATGAAAATAAATTCCATGATGTCATTTGCTTTATTTTCAAATCCTCGTAATTATCAGCTTATACAACTTTAGGCTAAAAGAATAGTAAATTTATATATCTTACATTGATAAACACCAAAAGTTGGCAGAAGGGGAATAAAAACAATAGGTGAAGGAGATCAAACGAAAGCATATTCAAATAATAGCAAATTGCATCCATATATCAATTTGATATAAATAAATAAATAAAGGAATATACTGACTACCAGTGAGCTAACTGAAACAACATATTACCAAAGTAGCTTTGGAGGATGAGAACCACCAGGCTTATCATCATTACTGGCTGTTTTCCGTGGAAGAGGAGCAAAGCCCCCAAAACATGCCCAGAATTCTCCAGTTTCAGAATCAGACATCAACTTTCCATCCTCTGCATGGAAATTCAAGCATATAAATCCAATAAGTGAAACTAAGCAATCACCTTTTGAACTTTAAAATATACTTACACTTACCAATAGAAGCTATCTCACATTTCCCATCATGGTAGGTGTCCTTAATATACTGTAGAACTTCCAATGCTTTAGCCCTTTCTTGAATACATGAATTGGAACCATTAAATTGGAAAATTTTGGACTCAGTATCCAGAATAAAAATATCATCATGGTTCAGTGAAGATCGAGCAAAAGGAACCTATAACCAACACACATAGCCAATCAACAAGTAGAAAATACTGCTTATATTTTGTGGTATCTGTATACGGTATGCAGTATGCACAATAATAATATACAAGACTCAAACCTCAAGAAGTCACTGACAGATAAATAAGGTCAAACTTGCCTCTTTGACTTGTACCACATGTTTCCCTCTGCATACAAACAACCTTGTCTTATGTTCTTCAGCCTCAACATGTTTAAAACCCGAGGCAGCTCCACCTTCTTGAGGTATGATACATGGTTTGAAATAAGACATGAACTTTTCAGTTTCATGACCCTGTACTTCACGATACTGAACAGCCCGTCCTCCTAGAGATGCATCCAACTCGACTGCCTTGATGGCTGCAGTACCAGCTTCATCCTATTTAAAAGTTATGATCATCAGTGAGCAAATGAACAGAAGGAAACTACATCAAATATTAACCAAAAACAATTGGAGGAGATAACAATGTATAAACAGCAAAATTTACCTGACTGGTGTCTTTACCAAGCCAATAATGGATATCATGACGCAGAGCACCACCTTTTGAAGCGAATGTCTACATGGAGAGGATAAGAAAAAAGAAAAGATTGATATCGGTGAAAAGACATTAATGCATACACATGCAGGAAGCAAAAGAAACATAAGAAAAGTAAAAACTAATGGATCAACAATTATCCACAAAAATCAAATAACTAAGAATAACATGAATCCAACACAGTTATACTGATGGATATATTGAGATTTGAACCAAACATCTCATAAATTTATTTTTTAGCAAGAAGAAAATGAATCTTAAGAAAAAAAATCCAACAGTATCTTTTTAGAGAAACTCTCATCACTTATGTATGCATCGGAGAGAAAAATATTTTATACATCAATTTAAATTAATAAAATTAAGGATTAAATAATTTTCAATTTTTTAAAAAAAATTGTAAATTTGATTTATGCATTAAGAACTTTTAATTCAATGGTTGGATTGTTAAAATTTAATGTAAAATACGAGTTATCGAGTGAAATAAGTCTAGTCTAGGTAGAAGAAAAGTTTTTTCATACCCAAGAATCATAATTTTCGAGAATAATTAAAATTTGTTTGGTTATTCATAAAAGTTTATGAAAATATTCATACAAGATTCTTAAAAATTAAAGATTTTCACGTTTAATTATAATAGTACATTTATGGGTATATAAATATTTTTTACAAAAATATCTTTTATTAAAATAATTTTATTAGATATATTTATTTACCCAAATCTTATTCCAAATATAACATTAAATTTTTTCTATGACATTAAACTTTTTCCTATATAATTTTTTTTATATAATAATATTTGCATTTGATAAAACTTAAATTATTTTAAAAAGTTGAAAACTTATAGTTAAAATTATTTAAATACAGAATTTAATAAAAGAAATAAACAAAAAAAATGCTACCTTATTATTAAGAAAGATAAAATATATTATTTTATTTTATTTTATTTAAAAAGTAAAAATAAATAAAAATATTAATAAATATCATTAAAATATAGAAATAAAACAGATTATAATATATTATTAAAATTGACAAGATCAAAAAATAATGAGATACAAAAAAAAAATAGAGATATGGAAGAGAAATGAGGGCAAAGGGAGAGAGAGCAAGAGAGAGTGAGAGGGAGAGAGGATGAGGGGGGAGTGAAAGAGAAGTGAGAGAGAAGAAAAAAAAGAGAGGAAGAAAAAGAAATACAAAAAAAGAGATACTTTACAAAGATACTCACCTAAATATTTTTAATTTAAAAAAAAGATATTATAGTCTTTTAAATAATTAAAGTTTTCCCTTTTAGTAGGAAAAATTATGTTTTCAACCTTATGAAAATATTTTTGTAAGAAAATGAGATAAAAATAATTTTCAAAAATAATATTTCTTAGAAATTTTATTTTAAAATAGATACCAAATATGAGAAATTAACATTTCCTATCTAAGATTCGTAGAAAACTAAAAACTTCCCTCTATTTCTCCCCCTATCAAACACCTCTTAAAGGAAGTGTGGATCCTCTGAAAAATAATATATTTCGTAAATTCTGTTCCAAAAGTCCAGAACTGGGTACAAGAGTTCCAATTAAAGGTACAACTGGCTCAGCTGGTCAGATTCCTACGTGAACTAGTTTCCCCTTTCTCGTATTGCTTTATTTGTCAACACACGTCTTCTAATCAAAAGGCTTGATTGTGTAAATCTCTAAGCTTCCAGTTTTCCCATCTTATGCATGTAACCAGTCCCTCTATCTAAAATTGGAATTGCTGACTATCCCAAGAAGAAGGAAAAGATGTCTAGCATAAGCATGCTCACATTTTAGCTCAACGAATGGTTCGTGTACACCAACATTTGTGTGCTTATACTAAGAAAAAACTTGATAGACAGAATTTCTACGACAAAGAGACAAATTAATTGGCAATGTCATTGAACATTAGATGGATGATTGTTGTCAACCACTTTATGTCTTATACAACAAGGCAACAATCATCTTGAGTCTGACTAAATTCATGATAAATTTTGTCAATTTCTTTCTGGCCATGTAGCACTATTCTTCTACTAAAACTCAAAGGTGTAACATTGTGAAATGTTAAAATATGAATACAAAAAACAATTATTTAGTTACTAAAAGCTAGTGCTTGACACACAGTTGAAAGAATTATAGAAGTATTTCATAAGATTGATATATACGACCCTCCCTACACCCCATAATATTATAATAGTTGGAGGTTGGGAGTCTCATGTACTAGACCTGTAGTATTCTCGTGAACCCTGACACTAATGTTATATCTGCAGGTCTTAAAGGCGTAGAATTTTCATGATGAATGTTCTAGTGTTCTACAAATAAAAAATGAACTAGAGCATGGTATTGTGCACTGTTGAGATCCCACATCAATTAGATGTACAGCCAATATAGTCCTTATAAGGCTTGGACAGTCTTTAGCTTTTTGATGGATTTTGTGAAGTTGAGTTGGGCGATATGATGTTATTAGAACCTAACCTTAAACATCAACTAGACATATATCAATGTAATCCTTGTAAGAGATACTGATACAATATGCCATCATTGTGAATGATAGGTAAGGCTTTAAGAAAATTACAATCTCCATATAATACAGCAATAAACAGAAATACAAGCAGCTTGCATCAAGGTCCCTTCAGTAGGAGGCTAGCATTATATTATTAATGAGTAATGATTTGGAAAATATTTCTTACCTTCAAGATCAAATAAGAGTCACCAGTGAAAAATTTTCCATAAGAAGACTGGGGGATGGAAACTGGATTAAAATTCTCAATACGCCATATTTCAAGTCCACTGTATATGGTTAAGGAGAATAATGCAAAAGCACAGGAAAAATACATGCATCATTCCAAACATAGAACAGAACCAAATAAAGCCAGACACCTTGAATGAATTATGTAAGGATGAAAATATGATAATTGTAAACAGCTCGATGTATTATTGTTGGCTAGTGCAGGATACGCCTTTTGTCCAGCTCCCTTGAAAGCTGGATCCAAATCTTTCATAGAATTGGACATGCTGTTCTTCTACTATTTGGTCTTCTACAACCAAAGCTTGAATATATGAAACAGTTACCCTGAAAGGAAGCCCTGTAAAAATAAAGATCTAAGTCATACAAATAATCTTCAGGCCACACTTTCAGCTAAGGTTAGTTGCCACATAAGGATCAAACACTCTTCAGTCTTCACACTAGATCCTTCACCTTCAAATATATCTACTTATGTCTGGAACTTTGGTAGCTCAATTGGAAAATTATCTATAGAAAATTTGATGGCCTTTTTTAGTATTGAAAATCCCAATTAAGAGTTTAAAAGATGAAGAATGAAAGAATCAGGAAAAACTACTTCATTTTGCACCACCATTTTTGTCAAATTATGTTTGTCCATCTGTTGACCACTAAGAGGTAATAGCCATGCGGCAGTTTGATCACAATTAGATGTAAAATAATTCCATTACTTGTCCAGAAATTTCCGTATGCATGAATTCAACTTTTCCTTTATTGATATTTTCGACTCAAGAATTGCCAATCACAATTAAGCGATTCAATTACAAAACTAAAAGAACTAATTTACACAAATTCATGTTCCACAGGTGATGTGTCTCAAGCTGCAAGAATAGGAATACAATCTTTAGCGTGTCAGCAGCTAAGCTATATACTCACTCAAGCAGTTTACCAAAAAAAACAGAGCATACAAATAAATAATCCAACCTCTCTAGAAACTATGCATGTATGATAATGATGTATTAATTAGTCTCTATGAATGCAAGCATAACAAGTCACGAGAATCTAAAATCCGCAAATATATTTACGATTCTCAAACTTCGGTATCCTCTACATAAACAACAGACCAATAAAAAAATCCAGTAAAAAGCTAACATACTCTGAAGGCAGTGAAACGCAAACCTCGCCTCTGGAATTTCCAAAATTGAAGAAAGGCACAGACACGCACTCGGGGAAGGCAAATTAAAATTCAATTTCTGGGCCTCTTTCAAATGTTGAAAGTTGAAACACAAAGAGAGTGTGAATGCCTTCAAAGGCTATGAATATTTAATTAAACTAAATGCGACGTGGATGGATTGCATAGCGGTAAATGAAACAATGAAGACAAGTACCTTGTTACGTATACCTACGCGAGAAAGTCCATTCGCGTTTCTTTGAATATAGTGGGTAAATAGCGAAGATGCATGTAAACGAGTTAGTTTGTTATAGAATTTTGAATTTTTTTGGGGTAGTGAAATTAAATTTTGTTAATAATTATTTAAAATTTGAATTTAGAGGAGAAGAGAGAAGAGTGCGAGAAAGACTGGAGAATGGCTGGTAATGGAGCAAGCTGATCTCCGCATTGTGAGGATTAGACGCGAAGAAGAGATAAACCGGGAAACTTAATTCTTAACTTGTTATTCATATTCCTCTTTCCTCTTTCCTCTTTCATGCAATGCTACAAAAACACAATTTACATAATGTCACGGTACAAAACAATATAAAATTACATAGTAACCAACAACTTTGTTCACCAATTTCATAATACTAGCTTAACTTTAGAAAAATAAGAACTGAAAGATCTTAGGATCACAATATAATATTATATTATTAATCTTTTAAATATTACAATATAATAGTTTCAACCAAATTTTTGTAGGTCTCTTCTTCCCTTTTCTCTAATAATTAAATATTTTGTTATTAATTTCTTTAAATATAGCAATATATTAGTTTCAAGCAAATTTCCCGATTCTCTCCTTTTACTTTTTTTAATAACTTTCTGAAAAGGGGATTACCTTTTATTATATTGATACTATTATTTAAAATATTTTAAAGTAAAAATAATTAAATATTCTATTATTAAAAATTTTAATTATTATAATATAATATATATAATTTTAACCAAATTTCTATAAAATCTGCTTTCCTTTTTTTCCTAATAATTAAATATTTATTATTTTTTAGAATATTACAATATAATAATTTCAACCAAATTTTCCTAAATCTCTCTTTTCCTGTTTTTCTTAATAATTTCCTGAAAATGAAATTAACCTTTATTATCTTGATATTATCATTTAAAATATTAAGGACGAATTCTATACATTTTTCCTTTCCTTCTTTTTTCTAGTAATTAAATATTCTATTATTAATATGTTTTAAAATATTACAATATATAATAATTTGAGCCATCAAAATATCTTACATCTTTGGAGTAGGTCTTTGAACATCTCATTTTTCCAAACACTTAAACAACACTTATTATTTTTTTTATTCCTCTTCTTATTACGTCATATTATCTAACATGCATTTACTTTTCTCACTTTTATCTCTCTCATTATGTTTCACATAGCATATTGTGTGTAAAAAAAATTATTTGATATCTTTAAGGACATTACATATTCTTCTTCATCGAAGCATCACATACATAAACACGTAACATAATATAATTTAATATATATATATAGGAGGGTTCAAACGACACCGGTATAACTTTTACTAAGTGTTACACCGCTCAATAACTTTATATTAAAAGTAAATTTTGAAAATTTAACCGTTAGATTGAAAGTTTATATCTCTTGGATCATATATACCAAATTTTGTTAAAATTAAACAACAACTTGAAGGTAATCAAAGTGTTCATATTTTAGTATATTTTGAAATGTATATATTACGTCAATTTTATTTTATGAGAATGAAGTATCAAATCATCTTAAATTAATATAAAATTTGATATATATGATCAAAAAGATATGACTTTCAATTTAACAGTTGAATTTTCAAAATTCACATTTAATATAAAATTATTGAACGGTGTAACACTTAGTAAAAGTTACACTGATATCGTTTGAATCATTTAATCAACCCATATATATTATATTCGTACCCTATTCAACAGGGAATATGAAACTAAAATATATACATGTATATTTTAACACAGCTTAAGTTTATATATCATAGCACAGTAATTTTGATGCAACTTTTTTTAAACATTTAATTAATATTCATCATATTTTTCTTTAAAAAAAATTATCTTTCAATCACATGATATAACATTTTTTTTTCTCTTTTTATTTTTCTCTCACTGCATGTGAAATACTCATTTCAACCCATAATATTAAATATCGTGTTTGAAAAAAATAAATTTTTTAAAATTGATGTCATATGTTAACTTTTTAATATAACATTAATTATTTTTTATTTATATTCTTTATAATATTCTTTAAAAATTTATTATTTTATACCATTTAAAAAAAAAAATTAATCATGAAACTAATTCTATAAAGTTATTATTTTCTTTCATCTATTTATTATCAACTTATACTTGTATTTGTAAAATAACATGAAACTTAATAAGTAGAGAAGGTAATAACATTTAGGTGGCAAAATGTTATATCTATTGAGACATAAATTGAGAAACAAGATAAGTGATTCGAATGAAAAATTATCGGATGGATTAGTACCACCACATGTTTATGATCCCGATCAATTATTATATGATATATATTTAAATTTTTTTAATTTATGAGAATACTTAATTATATATTATATAAAAATACATTAAAGATGATATGCAAGTCTAAAACCACCCAATAATTAATGGATTCTAATACAAAAGGTGAAAAAGACGAGGAAGCTTGCAATATTGAATTCCCTTGATTCTTACTCAATGTCCTGGTAAAAAATCTTCTTAAACGCATCCATATGCTCCACTTGCAGACCTAAAGCAACCACAAAAGATCCATCCCCATCTGGACAAGGAAGAAGAAGAAACTCTCCCTCGAAGGCATGTGCTGCTGGTCTCATATAAACCTCCTTTCCCCACCCAAAGTCAACGCCAAATAAGGGCAAAGTCAACCAACTAACCACACCCAAATTAGGGTTCCCATAGAAAGCCTCGTTCTCACTCCCTTGCGCAATAGAATCCTTATGAAACCTACGCAAATCCTCTTGATTCTTCAGAAACTCAATCCCCGACCTAACGTACTCATCATTCACTTTCTCAATCGCAGCCCTTATTATACTACACGCATACCCCAACGGCTTCAACACCAAATCACCCACAAGGCCAGAAGCAACTGCGTCCAAAATCGCATTCCCAAAATACCCTTCTGGCAAAGGTGGTTTCATGCGACGCCTCAAGTCAATGGTGATACTAATCAGGGTTGGTTGCTCCTCTTTAAGCCCTCTAGCCATGCATGCACTTCTCCATATGTGACCAGCTACACTCTCGTAACGGCTATAATTGCCATTCGCTCTCTTTCTCAACGTCTCAACTTGCGTTTTGCTCAGTTCCAGAACAGCCATCGTCGTTTTCTTCTTCCTTTCCTCGGCGTTGTCGTTTTTCCCGAGCAGCAACGGAGGGCGATCGAACTCCGCGTGCACGTCGCATTCCGTTAGCGGCACCGAAGGAGGCTCCCCGCCGCGCAGCACCTTCTGGTCATGAAACGGCGCCGTTTGCAGAGGCTCCCCGCGCGCCAGCCTCGCCCACTCGCAAACGAAGTGCGAGGCGCTGGTTCCGTCCACCACCACGTGCGAAATCGTGATGCCGATGCTGACGCCGCCGCAGGAGAACCTCGTTAGCTGAATCAGAAGCAACGGATTTTGGTGAATTGGGAGCGTGTAGTCCACGGTGGGAAAAAGGAGGTGGTACAAGTTAAAGTCGTCTCTGAGATGTTGTAAACTCGATGAGGATTCGGCTTCAATGAAGGAAACCCCCGAGGCGTTGCAATGGAGCTCTAAACGACCGTTGTTTATCCAGTGTAAACGACCGGCTAGGGTATAAAACGGCACCAGGACTCGGCTCAGTGAGTCTCTCAAGGTGGAAGCAATGGTGGAGTACATGCAGTTTTCTGGGGGGTGGTAGAAGTAGAGTGTGGGAACGTGGGTTACTTGTCCTGTTTGATCCAATTCGGATAAAGCTAAGCGTCCGCACCATGTTTTCTCCCAAGGCTTCACGGTGTAACAGCCTTTTAAGCTCACTGCCATCTCTCAAAAATGTGCTGCTTCTTCAGGATATCAATGGGATATTTATATACTCACATTTTTTTTTTACATGCATATATTCTTTTTATATTATCTTAAAACTCACAACTAGCTCGTAATTAATCTTTGTTTATCGGATATAATTTTCACTGATCAAACGTACTATGTCAATTTTGTGTCTCTTTGTATTATTTTAAGCATTTTTTTTTAGAATCTTTTATAACAACTCAATACTTAATATGTAACCTATTATTCCGTACGAGGCAATATTTAATCAACCCTTCCTTGGATCGAATCGATTAACTGTAAATCAATACTTAATCTAGTTAATGTTTAATTACCGTACAATACCCAAGTAACGCCTTCGAGGGCTGCCGGTGTTTAATTAATTAAATGCAACGTGAGAATTTGAGAATTCGGATGGACGTGTAAATGAAATAAAGTTTAACTTAATGATAATTAGTAATATAGCCGCATAGAAGCGAGACATAAACCGGGAAATTTAAGATGCCAGCCAATATACTGCTGTACATGATAATTAGAAAAAATAATTGATTAGGAGATAAAGATATTAAAAAAAATAAGAAAATTAAAAAATATATAAGTAGGGAATAATTTTCATTATCGTTAAATATTTTATTAATACTGCATATAATGACTAATGTGAAAATGCTGATAAATTATTTAATGACAGTAAATTAATTTTCTATTTTGTTATCTAATAATTTATATTAATGATTAATATATAATGGTCACTAAAAATATATTTACATTACACCAAAATTTATTATGAGTTAATCACTTATATACTGTCAGTGTAAATTTTTTTTATACTGACAATCAATTATATCTTTTAATTGTGTCATGTCACCCTAAACACATTTACTTTTAACAGTGACATGACACAATTAAAAGATATAATTGGTTGTCAGCGTTAAAAAATTTTATACTAGCAGTGCATAGGTAATTAACTCATTTACTATTAGCGATAATTTTTTATTGAAGAAAAAAAATTAAATCACATATCGACTATAAATAAGATAATTAAAGAGTATATAAGTAAATGATCACCCTCACCTTACAAATTTATTTTGTAAGATTAGTTAAACATATAACTTACTATTCTAAGTTAGTATCAGATTTTTGCCAATAAAAATGTTACAAAAATTTATACATTTTTCTCGATCATTATAAGAATTTTTACTAATACTGTATTTAATGACTAATATAAAAATACTCATAAAAGATTTTGCAACAATTTTTATTATTACTAAAAATCTATTTTATTGTAGTGCATGAAATATAATAGTAACTCACGCATATAATGACAAGGTTCTAACAACATTACAATCTCCATTTAATAAAGTAATAAACAGAAATATATACAAGCTTCGTGCAACAAAGGATAAATGACGGGAGGGCAGCATGAAGTACGGGTACTCGTATTAAGTCATGCGATATACATGTAGAGTACGTACCTACGCGTTGGATATCTATAGTTACGCATTGGATAGGTGCCAAAAATATTTTTCAATAAAAAAAAGTGCTTAATTTGAGTATATGTAGGTACGTGTTAGTTGACGGATCCAAAAACTTTAGATAGTGGGAGCAATATTTATTTATATATTTATAATATTAAAAAATTTATATATAATTTTTAAAAATATAAATA